CTCCCCTGCCATCTGCCAGTTCCAGCAATGAAGCAGAACAGACACGGCAGCACTTGAAATAGGGCTGGACCCAGCAGCTTCGACTTGCCACGGGGCTCTTGTGATCATAAAAAAAAAAAAAAAAATACACCACCTGGAGAGTTAGAGTTAACAAAATGCCATTTTCAAGCTGGGGAGCGCAAAGGGTCTCCTTTTATGGGGCCCAAGAAATGTGCTTGGCTTTGTGTTTCCCTCCCCACCACAAACCCCGTGGCGATGGAAGGATGCGGAGGGACGCACTGGAGGATGCGGTAACCTTCGGGGTGGTGTTTCATCTTGTCTCGCAGTTTGGGCAGAGCAAGGCAGCCCGTGGTCTCCCCGAGGACTGCCACCATGTCTGAAAGAGAGACCAGAGAGTGACCCACGAGTGGTTTTTGCAAGATTCAGCTATCCCGGGTTGGCAGGTGAGGAAATGGGGCAACGAACCCCTTGGCCAGGAGCGTGCAGGAAGCTTGTGGCAACGCAGGGACCCCACAGACCCCAGATCTTCAGCCACGGGGCTGCTCTGCCCCGGTAACACCCACAGGAAGGGATGTAGGAGCAGGCGTGGGACCTGGGGGACCGAGGAGGAATGAGATGGGGCCAGAGGGCATCACGGGGGGTCCTGAGGACATTGAATAGAATCATAGAATGGTTTGAGTTGGAAGGGACCATGGGGGTCATCTAGTCCACCCCCCCTGCGGGGAGCAGGGACACCTTCCACTAGACCAGGTTGCCCAGAGCCCCATCCAACCTGACCTTGAATGTCTCCAGGGATGGGGCATCTGCCACCTCCCTGGGCAACCTGGGCCAGTGTTCCACCACCCTCAGTGTAAAATATTTTTTCCTTACATTTAGTCTAAACCACTCCTCTTTTAGTTTAAAACCATTACCCCTTCTCCTATTGCTACAGGCCCCGTGAAAAACTTTACCCCCATCTTTCTTACAAGCCCCCTTTAGGTACGGAAAAGCCACAATCGGGTCTCCCCGGAGCTTTCTCTTCTCCAGGCTGAACCACCCCAACCCTCTCAGCCTGTGCTCCAGCATCACTGGGGGGTCTTTGGGGTTCCTCACCCCTCCCTTCCACAGCCTCTTGCCCTGAGCCACCTCTCAGCCCTGCACTCATCTCCCCAACGGGAGGAGAAATAAATTCCCCCAAGAAACTCCCAGGAAACGGGGCAGAATTTTCTGATGTTAATACA